TTTTCGTATTGTACCTTCTATTTTTCACTAAATAGATAATCTTCAATCAAGGTGGCATCCTTTAACCAAGTTTTGACGTAATCCTCATGTAGCTGGAACCTTAACAATATGTGTCTTGGATCGATAGAACCAACTTCAATATCTCCCTTGGGACTCCACTTTGATCTGATCACTTGATTACTCCTAATGAAGGTCTTCCATAAGCACGTTTACCAATGAGAGAATATTGCAAGGAGAGGCAAGAAGCTTGAACTTCTTCATTGGTGAAGTAGAAGGCAGGCTATCCTTCATAAAAGACAATCGGCTTCCCAATCATGGGAATAGGTTTTGGTTTAGTTATAGGATTCAATGAAGGTTTAAACAATGAAGCAAAGGTTGGGGAGTTTTCTTTTGAGTTGTATGGATTCAAATCTGGTGGTTTTGGTGGGATTTGGGAATTGTTTGGTGAAGAACTCATGAAGAGAAAAATTTCTAGAGAGAAGGTAGAGCTTTTGATAAACTGCTTTTAGCAATTCATCCATTTATCATCTTCCTTGGTACATTCCTAGTTCAAAATGAGTTAGAGATAAATTAATCAACATGTCATGTTAAACTCAGTCTCAATCTTTCTCACAAAGATAGATAAACTCGGGGATGAACATAGATTACTGGATGCAATGCGAAAATCTAGACGAACTTAGTTTTATGTAAATAGCTTAGGGACTAGCTTGAGAGGTCATTTTTATCTCCTCTTGCATGGCTTTTTGTCACTCCTTATTCTAAGTGTGTGATATAACATCTTTAAAGCTCTCAAGCTCTTCACCATCTGTGAGTAACACATATTCATCAAGAGAATATCGTCTAGGAGGTCGATTGTCTTGGATAGATCTTCTTAACTGAGTCTCAACTAGTAGCTCTGGAGTTGGCTCTACATACTAAGTTGGCTCTGGAAGAACTTGCTTTGGATGTTCTAGTTCTATAGGATCAAGTATAGGTACTCCATCAATATCAATGGTTGGTTCATCAACTGCATCAACATGTTCTTCTTGGACATCTCTCTAGTGATCATCATGCGTACTTGGTGGAGGCGAAACTGGACCCAAATCAAAAAATTTCTCACTGAAAGACTCTGAAGTCTTCAAAAGAAAACCATATATCTGCATCTGACAATTTTTCCATCAACTATATCTCACAATCTATAACCAAATTCTTCATGTTCATAACCCAAGAAGATACACAGTTTAACCTTTCTGTCAAGCTTGGATCCCTCATCATAAGGAATATGAACAAATACCCTTCAACTAAATACTCTTAAGTGTTTAAAAAGAAATATTATTACCTCTCCAAACTCTTTCAGGGATTAATCAAAGGCGTTGACGGATAAATATCAATCCAATCAATAGTTGTCCCCACATTCTCACTCCAAAAAGATGTAGACAATTTTGCTTGAGAGAGCATATATTTAATTCTCTCGCAAATCGTTTTATTTATTTTTTCTGCTATCCCGTTATATTGCAGGGTCTTGGGAATAGTCTTTTCAAGTCTGACACCATGATTTCTCTAACACCCTGCAAAAGGTTTACGATATTCAACATCATTAACTGCTCAAATACACTTTAATTATAATTGTTGTATCCCTTATTTGAGAAGACTTTTGATTAAGAAATTGATTACTATGTAACTCTTGTTATTATGAACAACATTTTAAATTTTATCAAAATCAGACGTCGAGTGCACGAATAACCATTTTCCTCCTCTCGGTCTCGTCGCGGCTCAAAGCCGCCGTTCTTTGCTTCTGTCTTTACGCCTCCACACCAAGGTTTTAAATAGCCGCCAAAGCCTAATTTAATTAGGTTTCTTGTGGTCAAAGTTTGACCACGTTATTTCACAAAGCACCCCTTTTTTTTCTTTCTATGTTTAACAATAAAACAAAGCACATTAATTAAACCAAAAATTATAAGGAAATACTTTTTAAACTACTTAATTGAGAGAAAATACATCGACTAAAATCTTTTATAGTTAAGCATTTTTGACTTGAAATGTATTATAGATAGATATACATTGACAGATTTCTAAATTTTTTCTTTACTAAAATATATTTTTCGATATTTATTAGACTGTTTAGTTTGACAATCCCATCTTTTATGGGACTTATTTTATTATATTAATTATTTTCTATTTTAATAGACTAGAATATTTGAATTTTAAACTTATATCTTCTAGATTATACTTTAACGGCTAATGTAAATTTCTAACTTCTAATTTTCTTCTTTTACGTCAATGTTTGTCTTTCTTCGTCAACGAAAAACACTTCATCGTCTAGTTTTCTTTTTCTACATCAATGTCTGATATTCTTCGTCTTCTTTAACGTATATCGTATTCTTCACTTTATGTTTGAATATATATGTTTGATGTTAATATGATGATTATCATTTTTTGAAAATTGAAAATATATAACGTCATGAGCCTGGTTTTGCCTTCCCCCCCCCCATGTTTATTAGCAGTTGTTTTTTTTTTTTTTGAAAAATAAAATAAGTATCTGCTGTATTTTTTTTATTAATAATTTAAGTATATCAACAATTTTTAACATGTACAATTTTACATGTATGATACATGTACCCGTGTAATGTCATTGTGACAATGTATAATATTATTATTATGTTTTTATGTAAATGTTAAATTTATTTGTGACAAGATACATGTATCCGTGTAATGTGACAGTGTAATGTGATTATGACAACTTATAATACTATTATTCTATTTTCATATAAATGTTAAATTTATTTGTATCAAATTCAATTTTTTTTATCAATGATTTGATGCATTCTAGTATATCAACAATTTTTGACACGTACAATTTTTTATGCACAATACGTGTATCTATGTAATGTCACAGTATAATATTACTATGACAACGTATAATATTATCGTTCTATTTTTCGGATGCTTGTGTGTTTGATTTTTTTGTGGTTGAATTTATTTAGATTTCAAAAACCGTGTTTTGTACGAAGATTCAGTTGTCGAATTTCAAGAGATTATGGCATGTCTTCCAGCTGTTTTTCAAAATCAATCCTTAGGCTAGTTTGTATTACTAAATGGGTATTTTTGTCATTCAAAAAAACAAGGTACATATGTACAAAATATTTTTCACTAAATACTTTTACACAATTAAATACTAAATTAAGTACCGACTTTCAAAAAAACTCTTAAATTAAATTGAATATGGACCATGGACCCATAATTATGGGTTGGGTTACCCACATGGGCTGGACCCAAACCCAACATTACAGGGCCTATTATTCCATTGCCTTTTCCTTCAAAGGCCAACAATATCTTTTCATAGGAAAATTAGGGTCAGTGGTTAAAAGGGCTGCTGATGCAACTGATTAAGAAGATATTTCTTTAATACATGACTACTAGCCCTAATGGTCCACGAGCCCATGGGCGGAGCGAGGCGTGAGGGTTGGGAATTGTGAGTCTGTGACAGTATATAACTTCTAACCCTATTATTCTTCTAATATAGTGAACAAATTTCCTTTGTGTATGGCTTCGCCATTCCCCTTGGCAGCATCCACTAATTCAAATTTTAATTTAAAAGTCATATTTTGATTCGGACGTTTTCGGAATGTCACTAATAACCAACAAATGACAAGTGTTTTTCTTTCCGTGGATCTTATTTCAATGAGAACTTAATGAGTTGTTCCACTTATACGTCTTTCTTTTATTGCTATATCGAGAATTACTCCACATATCTATAATACAACACTGAATAAGTTTCAATAAGCCTATCCGACAGTCTCAAATAGACTCAACTAGCAGTCACCAACATCTCTTTTAAAACCATTCACATTAAATTTTACATTCATCTCCTCACTTTCTCTCTCTGGGATCTTCACTCCTCACTTCTCCAAATTAATCGGTTGATTTACGTTGCACCGTAACATCAGGCACAAGTTACCCCTAGTTACTTGATGTAAAACAGATAGTGGATTTATTTTCGTCTTTTGTGAAATCTTTCAAAGACATGATGACCCAAGTGATTGGTTAAGTCCTGCAAATATTCCTAGGTCCATTAAGTAATGTATGTTGGCCTTGATGGTGTGGGCTTTTAGAGTTTAGAGAGAGAAGCTCTGACTTCTCTCTAGGATTTTCAAAATTCATGAGTGTCGCACCAAGTTCTTCCAACATTCCACCAAAACCACCGGATTTACAACCTATTAACCCACCACAAACACAGCCCACCTATACTTCTCTCTTCAAACAATCATCCAAACCTGTCTTTGTGGAAGATCCTTTACCCAAGATTGAAAAGCCTATCGTTTTTTATGAAGGGGAACCGGCCTTTTACTTCACCAATAAAGAGGTTAAACAATCATGTTTATCCCTTCAATATACGTTGATAGGCAAGTGTGCCTATGGCAGACCTAGTTTGGGCATGATCCGAGAAGTAATAAGATCTAAATGGGGATTAAAAGGTGAGTTTGAGATAGATTCAATAGACCCAAGGCATGTGTTGATACGTTTTGAAAAGCAAGAAGACTATGTGAAGACGTGGTTAAAAGATGCTACTATGATTGAAGATTACTTGTTTAGATTTTTTAAATGGTTTTCAGCGTTTGTACCAGGGATTAAGCCATCCATTGTGCCTATGTGGATATCATTACCTGGATTGCCTCTAAATTTCTTCAAGAAACCGTTTTTGGAATTACTCGTAAAACCCATAGGCAAAGTTTTGGCATATGATCAGGGGACGCTCTCTTTAGCTAGGCCTGGGGTAGCAAGGGTATGTGTGGAGGTAAACCTTCTTGCAAATAATCCAAATAGAATCTGGATTGATATGGGGGTTGAGGATGCAAGATGGCAACAGATAGTTTATGAAAGAAACAAGAAATTCTGTAAAAACTGCATGAAGCAAGGCCATGATGAACTTGAATGCAGGAAGAAGAAGCCAACGGAGAAGATGATGATCCCAGACGGAAAGAATTCATTCCCAGAAATTAGTAGGAGACGAAAAGGAAACTATGGCTAAGAAAAAAGGAAAGCAGATCCTAATTGCAGATTCGAAGGGAACGCATAATCTTATTATAGGCAACGTATTTAAGGAAAGACAAGGTAGTGGGGAAGCACAATTGCAGTCAAGACATGTACATTTTCATAAACAAATCAAGGGAGGCTGGAAGCAACAGCAGAAGCTGAAGAAGGATAATAACCCAGGTAAGGAAACAGTAGCTGTATTCGGGAAAGAAGCAGAGCCAGTCTTGGAAAGAGGGAATATTGAAAAGGAAAATTCAATTTTGATCCTGGAAAATGGGGAGCGTTCTGGTACAATGAATTCAAATGATAATGGAAAGGGAAATCCTCATAAGGAAAGTGTTCCAATTCAAGATTTTGAGAATCCTTCGTTTCCAAATACAAACTTGGTTGTTGAGATTGAAGAACATGCAGAGCAAAATGGCTGTGATTTGCCCAAGGCCTCTACAGACGATCAGGCCCAACAGAAAGGTGATGTTCCGGCACCGATAATTTTAGATGACCCATCGCTTGTCAATAAGTATGCAGAACTGGATCCTCTTCTCTCTTTAATTGTAGATTTACCATTCCCAAGCAAACCTGTGCAGCATCCCACCTTGAGAGAGATGCCTAATTGTCAACATCCCTCTTTGGCTTCTACGTTTTTGGTGGAACACCAATACGCCTGTCAAGAGGGTACATTGATTGTTATGAATGATGAATGTGGACTGCATCGTACAACGGAACCACCAGATAGGGGATTTTATTCAGAAGATGAGCTTACTAGTAGGGGTGATGAAAGAGTGGTTAGTGATACTCAAGAATTGGAATCAAATGCAGAGCAAAGACAAGAGCTTTTTAGAGTAGATATGGTTACTAGATCAAGGTCTAGCAAGATTTCCCAATCTAAAATTTTTTAATGATTAATACGATTACATGGAATGTGAGGGGGGCAAATCAGGAGGCTTCTAGGATGAGGCTCAAGAAGTTAGTGAAGATGCATGACATTTCTTTAGTCTGTCTTTTAGAGCCAAAGTTACTTCCTTCTAAAATGCATGGCTTATGTAATAATATGAGGTTTTCATCATATTTAGCTAATCCATTAGCTGAAAAATACATATGGGTGATTTGGGATCACAGAGTGAAGGTTTTATTAAAATATGCTCATGAACAAGTTTTAACGGTGGAGGTATCTTACATGGGTTCAGTGCCTTTTCTTTTCTCCCTTGTCTATGCTAAATGTGAGCATATACAAAGAAGAGAATTATGGGCTCATTTGTCTGGGCTACCAGTTTCTAATGCTCCTTGGATGGTGGTTGGTGATTTTAATACAATCGTCTCTTCAACAGAAAGGAAAGGTGGTGTTGTTCCAAGTTTGTCAATTATGAGTGAGTTTACTGGTTTTATAAGCTCTATGGGTTTGCAAGATTGTGGGTATGTAGGATCTACTTTTACATGGTGCAATAACCATCAAGGTAGATCACGAATGTGGCAGAGACTGGATAGGGCTTTGGTGAGTATGGAATGGAGGAGTAGATTTGTAAGTACTGTGGTTGAACATGCTGGCATAGTGAAGTCTGACCATTGCCCTTTAATTACCAAATTTTCGGAGATAGATTCTCAAGCAAGGATTTCTTATTTCAAATTTCAAAACATGTGGATTGAACATCCTAGATTTATGAAGTTAGTAGAGTTTTATTGGCCTGCAAATTATTCGTCTAACCCTATTGAGAACCTCTCTTTGAAACTTAGAACTTTGAAGTTTCAGTTAATAAGATGGGAATAAGGATACTTTTGGTAATGTTTTTGAGAATATTAAGCGGTTGGAGAGGAGTCTGGTCCAGGATGAATTGCAGGTGGAAAGGTCGGATACAGAGGCAAATTATATGGCTTTGCTGGAAGTGAGGAAATAACTGGAACACGCTTTGAGAATGGAGGAGATATTTTGGAAGCAGAGAGCTAATGTGAAATGGGCAATGGAGGGAGAACGAAATACTAAATTCTATCATACTATGGCTAAAGGTAAAGCAACGAGGAATAGAGTTTCTAGAATTAAAGATTCAAATGATATTTGGCTGGAGGATGATCAAGCAATTGCGAACTATGCTGTGAGTTACTACTCAGCTCTATATTCTACTGAAACCCATGTTATGGAGGAGGAGTTGTTTAACGTTATCCCCAAGATAGTGACTGATGAAGACAATGCTTCTTTAATGTCAAATGTTACGTTGGAGGAGCTTAAGGAGACTGTTTTTGCGATGTCCATTCATAGTGCTCCGGGACTAAATGGCTTTTCGGGTCAATTTGTTAAGACTGCATGGGAGGTAATTAAGATGGATTTATTATCTGTTGCAAATTTTTTCATTCAAGGGGGAGTTATTCCCAGATCAGTGAATGCTACATTGTTATCCCTTATACCAAAGAAGGAAAATCCTGTTTCTTTTGATGAATTTCGACCGATAAGTTTATGTAATTTTGTGTATAAGGTATTCACTAAAATCCTAGCTACTAGACTTGGGGAAATTCTTCCTAAACTTATTTTAGAAGAGCAGCAAGAATTTGTCAAAGGAAGGAATATTGCACATATACACACATATAGTTACACACACATAATTACACACAGTTTAATATCACACACACACACTGCCCATTGCACACATACACACGCCTTTCATTGTTTTTTTTTTTTCAATATTTTTTGATTATTTATTAGTTATTGAAAAAAAAAATTATTATTAAGTTATTGTGATCAAATTTTTATGATCAATTTGCATGAACAAATTGCAAGAAAACTAAATTCTTGATTTGTAACATAGTTGTAATTTTTAACATTTATAACAATTGACAGTTTTAAGTGATAAATTTAACTTCAATTAATTTTATTATCATGTTTATTAAATATAGGCTACAATATGATAATAGTGATTATGATTTATTTTATGAATTAAACAAATATCATATATTGTAATTTTTTATAAGATAAAAGCATATTTTCAAATTAAAGAGTGAAAGGGTAAAATTGAATATTAATTTATTTTCAAACGTCAACTATGTGTAATTATTAAACAGCTTGGTTCAATTCAGTACTTAAATTTCAATGAGTACCAAACAATCCACTAATTCAGATTTTAGCTTTCAATTTTTAGACTTTTGCTTTCAATTTTATCAAACACCACCTTAATTCACCACTTAATTGTGAAAAAATACTCAGTACAAAATATTTTGTATAGAAGTACTCTTTTTTTTGAATGACAAAAGTGCCCCCAATGTTACAATTACCTAGTGCAAAGAGTGCATAAGAAAACCGTCAGAAGTCATGCAACAATCCTATTAAAATTCAGTTGAATCGTTCGCCTGTGAAGTGAAGTGACAGAACAGACGTTGAAACTCTATTGCAAATCGATATTCCTTCTCTTCTAATTCAAATTGATGATAATATGACATTATAGTGATACATGACAATGTAACACTTTCATTAACGCTTTAATTACTAACAAAAAAATGTAAAATTACATTCACTAATTCATACACAATCTAAATGGTATGCATCATATAATATGACATCATAAATGTAACATTCATATATATTATTTTTAATGAATGACAGTGTTACACCACATTGTAATATTGCAAGATGACATGTTAAATTTGAGAACAATTAGTGTCGTTTAACATTAAAAAATAATATTAAAAAAATAAATTTCAATATAGATTTATATTATAATCGAAAATATGAACCTAAATCTAATGTTGTTATTCAATGTCTGATGTCAAGGATCCATTGGAGATGTTCTTGAACAATGCTTGTAACAATATCTTAATTTAATTTATTTATTGGAAAAGATGAAGATCGTACATTGATTCAAAATGATGACATTTTTGCCAAATGAAAAACTCGGTTGTGACTTAAACGATGAAAATGAATGTGTAGTTTAGAATATCCAACGATGAAAAATGAAAAAGACGATGTAGTTTAAAATTCAAATTCACTGTGTCTCATTAAAATAAGAAACTCTTAATATAATAAACCAAATCTCATAAAAAAAAATGAGATTACCAATCTTTCCAATAAATATGAAAAAATGTATTTTAGTAAAGAAAAATCTGAAAATCTGCCAAAATGTATCCCAAGTCAAGAATACTTATTTACAAAAGATTTTAGTCAATGTATTTTCTCACAATTAAGTAATTTAGAACGTACCTCATCACAATTTTCCGAAAAGTCAATGCCAAACAAGACCACTGTTCATATCATATTAATACAAACAATAGAATCTATTTTACTTTCCGGAAAAAAAAAATTCCCAACAGACTAAAAAAATTGTGAACAAGAATCGGCAAAATTTGGTTTCAGTAAGGGTATGCACAGAGGTTAGCCCAACTACAGCGGACTATCTAGCAGCAAGGTGATGATGACTTACGACAACCTCCTATACTCAGTGCTTCACTATCAATAATTCATCGCCATAGCCCCGTAAGATTGTAATTCTGTCTTGTAAGGTAACTAAGAATAACCCGTGTCTAAAAATACGATATAATATTAATAATTTTGAGAACGATTTTAATAACTGTTAGATAAATCTATTTGAAACCGTCGGATAAACTTACCGAATTGAAGACTATAGTTCATCATCAACCACTATATGGTTATAGCCTAGATCACATAAAGCTGAGGCAAGGGCAGAAGTGGTAGCACAAAAAGGCAAAATCCAAAAAAATATTAGGAATTGGAACAACTTTAAAGCGTTATATTATATCCATCAAGACAAACATTTACCCATTAAAAGGTAATAAAAATAAATATAAAAAATTAAATTTCATACACAACTACTTGACAAACTATTTAATTTTTAAATATATATTGATTATAAAGTTCTAAAATAGCAATTATAAGTTACAAATATCATTCAAATTTGATATGTATCTTTATACATTGGTTAATACTTTTCAAATAACATCAGGAAGTGAAAGCCTAACAAAACTACGTTCTTCTGTCCTCTCTTTTCCTGTTACAAGTGATCGATGTGCAGGCGAAAAACTTCACAGAATGTTGCCAGCATGTACTGATTAAAGCAAGCAGCAAAACACAAAGAGAAGGTCCATTGGTATTAGAAATTTCAAGTATACAACACTTCCCAAGATTGTCCAGAATCATATACAACACAAGTTCCACATCAGATTGATCGACCAGAGACAGAAACCACCCAGAAAACGCTTTGTAGCAGTTTGGACTTCCTCTAACTTGATTCTGATGGAAGAGCACCACTTGTGATGGTAGAATTTTTATCAACATTCTGAATGTGCCTTTATAGTGGAGTTGGAAAATGTAGAAGAAAATGATAAATGCGGATACAGCTATATGCAGATACAACTATACGTGATGTAGAAGCACCCTATTCCAAACTTTACGCTGCCTCTACCACCAATTATTTTAAAAAAGACCAAACCCAGCATATAATTTTACCTTACAAACTAGGACAATCCCACCTGCCTTTCCCATCTAAGATCCTCGGAGAATTCTGTGAGTGCAGCTCGAGGGTCACCATTTGATACAGACAGGTAGTATTGGGCAGTTCCATCATCGACCTGCATGCTTTTCTTCAAGGAGTCAACTAGCCTTCTCTTGCCACGGTCAGAAGTCACCCTATTCAATAAACAGTTGAGCTTTCTATCAGGGCCACCATCGAGATAGAGTACTGCCACTTCCCTTTTGGCGTAGATATCCAATTCTATGTAGCATGTAACATTGATGAGAAGATCTGGTTTGCTTACAGGGATCAGCAACCTCTCCCTTGAGTGTAACCCGTGGTCACTCATCATGTTATTCATTCGTTTTATGTCTGTCACCTACAAATAAGAGCTAGAAAAAAATTACAGAACCAAGCTAAACCATTAACGTTAAAAGGGAAAAAATAGGAAGAAAAAAAGAAAGTATACAGAATCAACAAGGAACCAAAGAGTCTCAACAAATGCCACAAAGAGGCAGGCCTGTGATGGCAACACATTCCAGTAGTTATAATAAGTCCATGCATGCAAACAAGTTGTTCTACTATTTTCCGCATAAACCTACCAAAAAAGCTTGCTTGCACACCAACTCGTGGGCATGCTGTAAACTTTTTCATTTGATGTAGATGTACTCATGAACATACGCAGATCTGCTGTACAAAGTATGAGCACGGTACTAACTAGTGACACAATAGTAGCACTATATTCAATAGTTCAACACAAAGCAAGTTCTAGCTCCCAAAAGATTATATTACTAAGGTGTTGTTTAATAAAATTGAAAATTAAATGTTGAATATTACGTGCTGAATGCTGAATTTTTTATATTAAAATTTTTTGGTATGTATTGGAATTTACGAACTGAGTTGAATTAAACTGTTTGATTAGAAGAAAAAGCTGAAAACTAAAAATTGTTGATTTTCTTATTTTGCTCTTCCCCTCCACCACAATATTGCCACTATTCAATCCCACCACCACTAACACCGCCGCCACCTAGTGGGCAATCGAGTCATCTCGTATCATTTTCATGATTGAATTTATATAGAGTACTAATCAATTATAATTTAATTAATTAATTATTTCAGATGTCTCAACATAACGTGATCTCTAATTGGGTCATGTTCAAGTTGACTCGTATAACCTACGAACCAAAAATTCAACCCTAGAACTCTTTGTTTTTCCCCCAACCAACCCACCACTGTCACCCCCACCCGCACACATCCACCACCATCACCCCCCCCCCAAAAAAAAAAAAAAAAAAAAACCACCACCACATCCAGCATCGCCATTGTGGCCACCACAACCAACACTGTGATCACAACAACCATGAAATCCCTTCGCACGAAACTATAATTGCAATCCCTTGCACTGACATCAAACATCTAATTGATGCAGGCAGATTGTTAGTAGGATGAATTCTTTCCCCGTCAACTTACACAAATTGTTGAGAAAGTACAAAGCAAGGAGAAGTAATCAGTGGTGCCTTGTCTTGTACGCACTTATCACTAATTTAACGGAAGCTGCTAAGTATAAACATTAATCAATCTAATCAGCAATTCAGCAAACAAATCTATTGCAATTAGATGCTATTGAATACAGAAGAGAGAGAGAGCCAAAATTCAGAGACTTTTGGAGGGAGCTGGGAAGCACTTCATGAACTTGTTGGCAATTTCCTAACTAAAAGGTAAACCGTAGGACGGCGGTGGCACGTGGGCATACTTCAACAGGGCGGCATTCCAGCACCTTGTTTTCATGGTTAGCAAAATTGGTAGACTAGGTTCAAGAATTGAAAATCCAAACTATTTTCAGGGCAGGGAATGTGAACAAAAGGTTGTTATTATCACCTATTTTACTGAATAAGCATAGTAAATTAGAGTTCCCTAACTGGTGAAAGATTAAGATGCTCAAACTACCAAGCTTAGAAATGTATGGTTGAGTCTAGGAGTAGTCACTTCGAAAGTTGCGTCTGCCTAGTCTTCCCCTTTCAGCAACAAACATTGGCAACAACAACACTACATTATGGCCTACTTGTACTGTGGGCTTATTATAGTCCAATGCAAGCCCAACAAATTAGGATTTGTAATCAAAAAAATTCTGGTACTGCCCATTATAGAAAATACTTAACACAGGATTTTGTACACTTCCAATTGCATTCACCCAAGGCATAACCAATTCACGAGACTCCCGACATTAATCAAAATTCTACCCACCCAAAAAATTCCCAAGTCTATTCACCCGCTAGCTATATTTTGACATTGGAACAGAACAAACAAGAACAATTCAGCAATCATAAGTAGCACAACAATACGAAGAAAACCATCCGAGGAAAAAAAATTGTTCAATTCAATCAGATCAACTTGAAACCACACCAACAAAAAATCAAAAAAAAGGCAATCAATCCAGTCAATTCTCCATTGTGCACAATATTTCACCCATCACCCACAATTACAGAAAGAACTAACCATACAAAAAATCATACATACCCACCGAAGCTTACATGAATGCACATATATACAAACTCACACCAGTGGTCATTGGCCACTGCAAGATTAAAATGCTCAAGCTGATTAGAATATGAGAGCCATTTTTAGCACATTATGACAAAGTTGATTTCCATACCCAGCCCAAGGCTCCCAATCAACACCCTCCAATTACGGAAATCAAACTGACACACACACACACACACAGATTATACCTGAACAGAGTACTTCACGGCGAGGCTAGCAACAGAATCACCACGAACCAACCGATGCGAAATGGCGAATTTACCAAGGCTATTATCTCTCCAGAAGCTTCCAGAGCTGGGATTCCCAACAATTTCCTTCAATTTCCAAGGGGCCTTGAACGCCCTCGTCTTGATTTCCCTATCGGAGGCCACAGAGTTCCACAGCCTGCACACGCACGCCGCACGCGCCAGATCGACAAGTGGGAGTTTCTCGAGGATGACCCGCATGGTGTCCCTGCAAATTAGGGCTGAGAAGAGGGAGTTCATCGGGGATGTCACGATGGTCCAGTCGTCGGAGCCCCCGTCCACGGCCGAGGATGCGGTGGAGGACAGGTCACCGGAATGATCGGGGTGGAGCGGTTGGAGGATATCATCTTCCTCTTCATCACCACAACACCCCATTTTCGGTGCGGGCTCTCGGTGCTTACCAGCTTAGTTTAGTTTCTGCTAGTTAGGGATGGGAAAAGTGCGCTTTATCATTGATGACTTAGAATCGGTGGGTGGAGGTCTCCTTACACACCAAAATTTTGTTTCAGACTAAAAATTTAAGAATAAATAATATTATAATTAAAAAATTAAATTTTTGGCTTATAAAAATACAATAATAGTCAAAGATTAAACTAAGATTTTTTTAGAGATAATTATAATCGACACCAATTTAAATGTTCAATTTCAACAATGAAGTAAAATTACACTATATTCCTCTTGGTTGATATTGAATTTCAAGAGATACCCTCTTTATTATGGTCCATTAGAGATTAATTTACAACTTTTCAATTAGACTTAATGGTGACCAAACTAGTTGGTGTAGATATGCATGGAAACATAATTGTGAAAATTGGTTGACAACATTAATCCAAGTAACTTAAGTGTTAATAGAAACAAACGGTAAATTCAAATGCACTAAAATTCAAAACCAGTGCCATACATAGCAAAACTTCAAGATACATATTGGTCTTCTTACAAAGAGAGCTGCCATGTTACAACATCAAACTTCAGATACATATGTAGCTTCCAGGCAGAAGAACCTCATACAACAATTAGTGTTAGGGAAACAAAACTAAGCATCTTCATTACACAAAAAGATACCATGGAAACAACCAAACCGGAGGAGGGGGGGGAAAAGAAAAATAGATCAACTCGCCCATCCATGACCAAGCCCATATGCATCCATATATCCAGTGGCATGTTCATGACCGTGGTCATGACCATCATGGTGGCCATGGCCACCATGACCATGTTGATGGTGGTGTTGGTGGTCAATGCTTTTTGCTTCATCAAACATCATCTGAATATGCTCGGGTATAGACTCTTCCTCAGCTTGTCTGCTGGGTTTAGGTAATGAGGACAGAAACCGATAAATACTTTCAGCCAGCTCATCAGATGTATGTTCCTAAGTCATAAAAAGATGGGAAATGGAATATTATAAATTGAAAGTAATACAAGAGAGCATCACTCAGAACAAAATATCAAAGCCTACTTAGCTATACTGTCCAATTCCCCAAACAACCAGAAAAGAACACCACATCTAGCAATAGTGCTACAGATAAGGAACTCAGCATAATAATATAAACGGTCTCCAAAAGTTTCTTCCTCTTTTGAGAGAGAGACTTCCCCTCTCTTTCTGATATTGTTGCTTTAAGCAGATGGTTTTGGATATGCAAGTGTGTGCCATGTTTAATTAGGTAACAATGACATGAATATGAAAAGGCAATCAGTTGAACTCAACATTTTGGAAAAGCAAACTGGACAGAAATTAAACCAATGCAAGACAAAAACTTGAATGTCTCATTTCATCAAGTAATGAATGCTTTCAAACGATAGCTTGTGTATCATGCATTGAAACAAGCCTGAACACAGACCAAATCCGTTCAAAATTACAATTTTGCATTGAGCTTTTTGGCTTAGTCCTTTTTTATAATGGACACTATTACTTCATATTCTGAAGTTCTCTTAGGAAGTATGAGGAACATTTTGATCACTATGATTAAATTACCATGGCACCAAATTGGCCGAAATGAACTCTACTTCAGAAAACCTTGTCATGCCACTTGGGATTGAACTTCCTTTTACAGAATATCACCCATGAAAATTCAAAAGAAAATATTGGTAACAAAAAGCTTTTACTGGAATGGTGTACGCGATTCCCTTCATCCTGGACGTAAGCATTGCCCAATTCTAACATGCATGGTGGAAACATGCTCTTCCTGAAATATGCCATAATATAGATAACGGTCTACTCTCTTGTCTTTCCTAAAGCTTGAAACAATTTATGGATTATCAAAACACATTCGAAAAGGTTACAAAAAAATTCTGTTAAGAGCAGGAAGAATGCAATGGAGTACAATTTTTTCAGAAGAATAATTAACTACAAAATAGGCCCAAGTAAGAATGACAACGGAACTGAAATAAATCAAGCATACTCAAGCACTGAGTACTAATGACCAATTAAACATTTGTTTATTCACATCCAGAGATACTTAGCAATTTTTTTTGAAGATAAGAGACTCTCACAAAGTTAGCAGCCCAACCAATAACAGCAACATTTCCAGGCTGAAAGTTCATGTTTCAGCTGGTATGACATTGAGTTCATGTAATTTATAGCCATAACATTCCATTCAATCTCTACCAAATATAAATCTTCCATTGCTAACTTCCAATTTTTGGAAACATGAATGTTCAAACATGTCTGTATACCACACAACTAGCAAAGGACATCTAAAGTGTTCCTGGTTTATCAGCATACAAAGGCACTATCTCTCAAATTATCTTTATAGGTAAGATAAAAAAAAAAGAGATTGTATCAAAAGTTATGTACAAAAAAATAGCAAAATCGCACCAAAAACTCAAGTTCCTTTTACTGACCCAACCCCTTGTTGTTTGAAGAAACCCTCTACTTCAATTGATATGTTTTCACGAAAAGCAAAAGGCCGAGCGAAGACATCAAGCCTCAACACCTGATCAATTTTTCACGTTCCTCATTCGAGCTTTCTTAACCAATTATCCATTTTCGTGGATTAGCCGGAACAAACTCTCTTTTTAATTCCGCTAATAGGCGGGTCCTATGAACTTTGACCCACAAAAAGGTGTAACTCGTGCTCGTCTCGTATTTCATTCCATTTTAGGTTTTTTATGTAAAATGTAACGCAGAAATAATGTTTAAAGAGATTCAAGACTACATGAGATAACAAATCCAAATCTAGTGTTTCACTATGATTTCGAATAACAGTCTCAAATTCAAGTTGATTATATTTGTCTCTTTCTCAGCGAAAGACCCAACTGACCTAAATTACTTAGCTATGTCTACTCGAAAGAATAAGTCAGTCAGACAATAATGGTGCTTCGATTGCATCTATAAAACTATTCAAGCACTGAACTCACTAAAATATGAACTACAGCTCTCTCATAATATCTACCCCACATAATTTGCAGTTGTGAAACAATTCCTGGACTTGACCCCTACCAGCCACAAAACCCATATGCTGCCCAGAGACAGATGTCAATTTAAGGAAAAAGAACCTTAAATAAGTCGAATAGTTTAACTAATTCTGCTTCATCATTTGAACTAGACAACCATCATGAAATGCAATAACAAGTAGTCCACAATCCGAAATATCTAATAAAAAATAACCACATACAATATAAACAAGTCAAAATCTATTGGGGTATGTCAATTCTCACCTGGGGCCATCGGCCGTCAGAATGTGTGACGAAAGTTGCCTGAGGAAGTGCCTTGGCAACTCGACCTCCCTCCTCATTCCATTCTTTGGACCAGCTGTTCGACCAGATAACTTGCATTGGCAAATCTTTCACACCATCCAAAGCACCCCATTCTGCCAAATCAAAACTATAATTTAGTTTCTTCCCCATTCCAACAACTGCTTTCCTCCCATCCCTAGCGTTCAAAAGAACCCTATGAGCCTCAACATCCGAACCACCAACCGATTTCATACAACACATCTCAATGACCTTCCGAAACACAAACTTAAACCCTAAAGCAACCTCCCTTACAACTGGAATTTCCAATACCCATAAAGGCAACACTGTGCCATTCGAAGCGCTATCAAGAAGCATTACACTCCTGACCAACCCTGAATTGTCCGAAATCCAATTGGCACTCAAAACCAATGCTGAATCGTGCAACACCAAATCAACAGGTGCCAGTCCCATTGCCTCAATAACTTGCCCCAAAACCCTCCCCATTTCTTCAAGACCCAATTCAATTGCCTTAACACTCTCTCTTTTCGAAACCCGAACCTTATTTTCCTCATAATTCACATACCCTTGTTCAATCAACTGATCAAATCCCCAAAAAATACCTTTTTCCTTAATATCACTATACATATCCCAAACCCTCCCAAAAACCCCACCACCCCAGTTCTCTTCTGTTGTTACCATCGATTTGTCGGAAAACCCAGAACCGGGCAGATCAATTGCAACCGCATGAACACCTTTGGAACCCAAAATATTGACCATTTTCTGGAACGCAAAAGAACTACAACCTAACCCATGTACAATCAGTACATTGTCAGAATTAATTGGACCTTCTTGGATTGAAAACACTTCAACTTGGGGTTTGCTTGGGGCGATTTGGACCTTGATGGTTCGACCTTTGGAGTAATGGTGGCGGAGATTGGTGGGTAGGGAAAGAAACCAGGTTTTGGGGTCCTGAGGCGTGAGAGAGGAGAGAGAAACGAAGAGAAGAGTGATGAGAGACACTATAATAGTAAAGTAAAACCAGAAACGAAATGGATTTGTTGTGTCGCTGCTGGTGGTGGTGGGCGGAGTCAAGGTTGATGATGAGGTGGGTTTGTGCGTTGTGTTGTTTGATGGCTTTGGCGGGTCTTGTTCCTCTGTTATGACAGCCATTGATATGTGTTAGGTAATTGTTGAGAAGGCAATGGCACAGAGTGACCTCAAGTTAAAGGTTGATGGAAACTTTTGCAGGATCGCTGACGGAAGGGGTGTTAAAAGTGAGTTTTAGATTTCATTCTTCGAATCCGATTCGATTTTGAATTCCACCAGTCAAAATGAATTGATAGCTTTTTTATCCACTGTCGAAGAACTGTGATACAATCTATCTCAAATTTAAGTTTAGATATCCAAAACTCGGTCTGATTTGGTACCAATTATATTCGTATATTTAAGTATTTGACAAAATTAAATCAAAACTAAGAAAGTTTAACACTACAATAGCAAAAAGAGAGTTTAGCACTAATTGATCTATGAATTTGATCGAATTTATAATGTCTAATTTATTTGAACGGTGGAAATGAAATAACCATATCCAATTCAAAAATGACCTCTTAAAACAAATTGGATTAATTTTTTTTAAGTTAAATTCCAATTACTTGAAATTCAATTCAAATTTGATAATACGGAATCACTCTCAAGGTAGAGTTTCTCTTATCTCCCAAGCGATGGTGGTGCTCAACTTAAAGGTTCTGATCTTTCAAGAAAACTCTGGTATCAGCTGTTATTATCGAGTTGTTTCTTAAGCAATTTGTAGCTCTTTGGATTGAAAAACGGCCTATATTTTCTTCCATTTCTCCTTGTAGAATGGAGAAGAAGATGAAACGTTGGAACGTGCTTTTGTTTTTCCCTTGGAGTAGTAATGTATGCCTAATTCCCCTTTGAACATAAGGATTGATCGATATAAAGTGAAGAGGATAGAGGACTAGGTGATGAAACAACTCCAGATGTAAAAAGGCATAGACACAGTTAGTACTGGGCAATCCTTATTAGCTTATCAATGCTGGCTGATATGGAAAACCCAAAATGAATGGATCTATCACCATAGACAGCCACAAGCCAGAGGAGTTATCAACCAAGCTTTGGGGGCGATAGCCGAGCTCAACTTCATTCAAGACAATCAAGATGAGGCAATTGATACGGATAACACTGAACTTCAGTGGCATCCCCTTTCACATGGATGGGTGAAACTGAACTATGATGAAACCTATGACGAGAAACGAAGAAAAGGGGCATATGGAGTGGTGGCACGAAACCATGAAAGAATCCTTTTACAGGGAGAAGCAGGGACCATAGCTACAACATCAGTCTTAATCACAGAAGCAGTTGCTGTTTGAGGAGTTTGCAGAATGGTAATGGAGGAGGATTACAATGCTGCAATACTTGAATCAAACTCCATACTTCTCATTGACTTGATCACTAAGGGTCCAGAGTCTATGCAAAAGGAAATTGAACCAATAGTGAGGGATATATGGCTATAGGCTTCCAAGATCCCTATGGTCAGATTTGAGAAAGTCAAGAGGTCAGCTAACCTGGTAGCTCATACAGTTGCTACCAAAGCAAGACACTGGACTCTTCCACCTTAATGGCTTACTTGTATGCCTCGCCAATTGAGTTTGTTAATTAGCAGAGAAACTAGGGAAAGAGTGGGTTATTTAAATTTGCGTAAGCAATCTTCTTAGTATTAATAAACATTTATATTTCATGACCAAAAAAAAAAATTCAAATTCAATCGTTTAAAGTCCTACTCACTCTTTGTACTCTTACTATGAAAAAAATGTACCCCTACTGTGGAGAAACTCTAACTCCACCCTTGTTGAATGGTTTAATCCATTTGAGGTATGTTGGCCAACAAATCAAACACACATGTCCTCAGTTTTAGAAAATTGAGGGAAGATGAGAGATGTCAAAAGCAACTCATGTTCATAACTTATATGTGGATGGAAACCACAAATAATGGGGTCACTTCTTCTAATACATCTTTGGATGGCAACCACAAATTTCAGCAAAATCTTGTTAGAGCAAACTACACAATGTTATAAATTTAAAAAATTATTTAGGTGCGAACAACTAGTTCAAAAAAAAAAAACATATAGCGATATAAAGAAAGAGAGAAATATATTGTTGCTATCAGTTATTTTTCATTCAGCTGATGAAGTCTTTTATAGGCAAAGTATAAAATGCTTCAAGACTATCGGTAAGAGACAACACAATTAAGGGAGACAAAGAGGTGAGCATGTAGTGGTCCATCCAGCATGCGTTTTTGTTTTTAACACTCCCACTTGGATGACCACTTAAGATAGTTGCTTCACTTTGAAAGTTGTAACCCCAGTGTAGATGTCAAGCAAGCAGAAATTTCTTGGTAGAATCGAAGGTTGAACCACATGAAGATAAGGATTTTAGAGTGTTGGGAATCTTATAATATATAGCGGAAGCATAGGATCAATGACATACCTTGTTCGCTTTAATCCTAAAGATCGTTTGAAGATGTTCCATTTGCTTTAGGATCTGAAAAATTGTCTTTTCTTCAATTGCTCGAGCAGTATGGTGTTGTTATACAATAAGAATCAACACCGAGTTTCCACAGCACAAAAGCCTTTTATTGTTATGTAGAGAGAGAGAGAGAAATAGAGTAGGGGACTTTAATGTTTGAGTGCTTTTCAGAGATATTTTTCATCTATTGGTTGCCTTGGGTTTATATAGGCAACTAATAGGTATCATTGAGAAACACATAATATAAAGACATGTCTATTAATATTTAACAGACATGTATTTTGGGTAAAGAATACCTCTTGATAAATGATACCTCTGAAAGACATGCCTTTTTGGACATTCTTTAATTTGGTTCAACCCACCATGGGCGCCCCAGTTCGGGTCCATGACTTAACCAATATCTAACATCTCCCACTCGCACGTGGTGGGTACGACACTATCATCTCTCTCAATCTATAATATACATCAACATCAATTCATACAGGCTAATGGGTCGTGCAACCGCTGAGCACACTTGCAATTTGGGAGCTCTACACTAGAAACTCTATAGAGCCAGCATAGAGACATCAACTCTAAAAAAATGAAAATGGTGTCTCAAGTACTCTAGACCCATTCGGATACACCGGTTCAAGCATCTCTAATCCCTCTCAATATAAGAGCATACATAACCCTTCAAAACCTTCGTATATATATTCACACTTTGTCACTATCTAAACTAGCGCCCAAAGTTGTCGACAGTGAATATATCACAAGATGTTCCAAATGGTCTTCCTTTCGCCCCTAATGTCACTTAGTTCAAAATTAACTGCTTTCCTAGCAATGTCCCAGAAGACCGAATCACTCATGGCTGTAGGTAGCATGCCAAAGTAGCTGAGCATTAATTCTTTCACTTTATGACATAGTCAAAAGTCAAAGAGTACATAGAATGTTTGGTTAAACAAAATAACCTGATCATGTTAAAAATGACTTGGAGGGCTCACACAGTGAGGAAACAAGGATCCATTCCTTCATCTCCTTAATTATCGCCAAGCACATGTAGTATGAAATACATGTTACAGTGGAGTATCTCAATCCTAATGAGAGTGTATGTCATACTCAAACACTGTACAAATCTTAGTTTAGTCGCTCTATAAGCGTCTAACCCAAGTTCTCTATTTGCTCGCCCTCCAAAGACGCCAAATTAAGATCTTACATCTGGCTAATCAACAAACACAAGCATAATAGACATGGAGTTGTGTGCATTATCGATCCTCAAATGTCAGATCTCATTCTGTATACTGTAACGCCCCAAAAATCACCTTGGAAGACATTACAATTTGAAACCATTCAGATCATGAGAGCAACTAATATGATCCATAAATAAATAAGATTTCATTCATCATTCATAAAATTTACAACATTATCCCAAAAGAATATGCACACTATGATGCTTACATCTCAAAAATTTAACTGTTATAGTGTAGCGGAATAACCAAAGAAAGCTAGACTTCACAATGTTTCAAAAATAAATTTCTTAGTCTAGAACAAAAATAATGTTGCCCTAAGGGTCCACCTCGGGATCCACATTCCCTTCTATAGGAGTCTCCCAGTGTGCCGATTCATCCACTCCCAACTCCTCCTCTAGGACATAATCTGAAAAATATTATTTGTAAGGGGTGAGCACTAAGCTATGTAGCAACATTTCTCCCATACTCGAACAAGGTTTAGAAAAACATATAAAAACGGTCGATCACCTTTCACAAATAGCATATATGAATTTTGAAATAAAACAGGAACAATTAAACATATCTCAAGTTTAAGCAACAACAGCAATTTAATGTATAAGTGAAACCAATATACAACTAATAATTCATTCCAGCATAAACTGTTTCTCTCAAGTTCTTGTGGAATCTCATACTTTCCAAGATTCTTGTAGAAACCATTTCTGGTACAATGAACAATAACCCACCACTGTATTTGTATCTCTAGTATGAAGTAAAACCTCGTATGGATACCAACTAAAATATCATGGCCCATGTATAACCCATATAAATCCTCACAAGGATATCCAATCTTTAAGAAGGGCGTATGCCAACACCATGACAGTGACGTATCCAATCAAAAAGTAGTATACTAGCCCCTTTTTTTCACGATAACCCATAAGCGATAATGGTTTAGTCCTCGCAAGGCACTAACCCCATTACGAGTGGTAGAAAAAGTTTTAACCCACACGGAGTAAGAAGGCGTCTACCCACTCCATGATACCTGGTCAATCGTAGCCCATATTTATCCAAACAACCACACAAGAGATAGAATACCAATAATTCCATAAATAACCAACAATTTCCAAAACCCCAAATTCCATGGGTATTTCAAAGAGCACAAGTAATTTCAACAATCCCCAAGTTTTCACGTGTATCATTTCAAAAGAACATTGAAGAAAATGCAAGAGATCATCAATATCATTTTATTACTCAACACAAAACATTAAGATTTTGAAATCAAGAACTAAGGAAGAATCAAAAGAAAAATCCATCACTCTTGAAAATTAGGGTTTTAAATCAAGAAAAAAATATTTCATGGGTATTCAACCCTAACTTTGTTTAAAACATGGTAATAATTACAAGAAGACTAAGAAAAGATGATTTCATAGCAAATATATAAGATTTAGAGTCAAAGAATACATATATATTAGCCCTAGCAACAATTGACAAGAATGGAAGAAAACCCCTACCTTCTTCTTCCTTAGTGTTCTTGAAGAACTTGAGATTTGATA